GGTTAATGTATAAGGGAGGCCAAAATGTTGCCTTTAGACAGTTGTCCTATTTTTTAGATCCTCTCTGCAATCATAAACTCTTCACAACAGGGAAGTGAACAACCTCCAGGAATCCAGGGCACAGTTTCATCCTCTTCCTCACACTGAAATCCAGTGGCTTGGCTTTAAAAAAATAAAAAATAAAAACCCACATGCTCCTGTGCGTTAAAGCAAAACTGTATGTTCTGGGGTTTACTGGAGATTAAGTGCACCTTTTTCCCCTGGCAATTTGGCTGTTCAGCAGAGGATGTGAAAGAGGCCTTGTGCTGTGCTGTGCTGCTCACGCCTGCTTTACATAGTGCTTTTCTCCTACACTGAAGCAGATCACGCTCATTGTCAAGAGGGCAATCCTCCCTTTGAAGACAACAATGGGGCTGATTGTTATGCTTACATGGTCACAGCCCCATGCATTATAACTTTGGAGATGCGGAAACCATGTAAGTAGATGATGCAGTTAAGGCCGGGGGCCAGCATCGCCTCTCCTTGGACCAACAGCATCAACAGGAGCAGTTATTCGAGAGATGTGCTTCCCTGCATGTCTTTTGCATTGGAGCAACATGGATTCCACTTGCACAGCTGCAGCAACCAGGCTTCCCAAGAATGAGCCCCTAGTATGGCGACTGGTAGATTGTGACATCCTGCAGCTGAAGAAAATGGCTGCCAAGAAAACCTGCTTCAGCTGTGTACTGTGAACCAACCCATCTCTCTTCACACATTCACCAGTGCATGCATGGCTAAAGATGGAAAGGAACTCTATCCACGTAGGAGAAAATGATGCACATTAAACCAGTCTTTAAAAACATACAGCAAGTGGTATGTTGGTGGTTCAGAGCATGGGACTGGGACTCCGATGATCTGGGTTCGAGTCCCCACTTAGCCACGGAGCCCACTGGATGACGGGTCAGCAATAGACTCTTAGCCCAGCCTAACTCGCAGGGAATAAGATTGAGATCAGAAGAAAGAGAGTGATGTCAGCTACTCTGAATTCATTGTTACCAAAAAGGGGGGGCAGGATATATATCTAATAAATGCTGGTTATTTAAAGAGAGATCCTGAGAATTCCAATAAGTATGCCATAATCCTCAGGAAATGTATTAGTAGAAGGAGATAATGATATTTGCAAGTCTGAATTTAGCTGTCTTTTCTACTGGCAAATGTTCCTTTACTCTGGTGCATTTCTGCAAGTCTACTTTTAAAAGCTGTCAACTTTGTTTTATTAACCTTTCGTAAGCTGTAAATGGTATGTTCAGACTCACAATGTAGGGGACTTTTTTGACTGGTGAAAACCTAATTTTCTTATGAGTCAGTACAGTGCAAGGTAAAAGTAGGAAATGAATCATAGATATAGAGAGAACCTGGAAGCCTTTAAAGAGACCTTGAAGGGGTACGTAAAGGAACCTCTAAATCTAGCAACTGTGGTCCTTATTATAATTTATGATGCTATATAGGTGTTTTGTATCCTTGAAATCTCTTTGAATGGTGACTTTATATGGTGGACATACTTCACTATTCCTTACTCAGCTTTTTGGCAGAAGCTTAGGGACTGTTTGAGCTCTGAATTAAGAGACGTGAACTTGTACATTGCTCCATTTTAATGTAATCTTGACACCTATAACTAAGTGCAGTATAAGGGGACTTGGATTTTTAAAAAGGAAAGAAAAGAAAGGTGGGGGGACCTCAGCAAGAAATAGAAAAGGGTTTGTCTTTCTTTTTGCTCTCCCATTCAAAGACATTCCATGATAGTTGCGCTGCCAGTAGGAGATTTGTTCAAGCAAAGTGCCAAATGCAGGATGCTGAGCTTACAAAAAACTCAAGTGGTCTGAAGGTGCTGTTGCTTCATGGACCCATCCAGGTGATACCCAATTCACAGGTGCCCGAGGCTGGCATCAGTACATAGCGTGATTGGGCAGAGACCAAGGCACATGGGCCCAGTGCTGCAGATGCCTGCCTGTACTGGATGGACTCCTGTGCCACTCAGCACTGAAAGGACAAAGAAGCAGGTGCTGGGAGGGAGCAACAGAGGCATCCATTCAGTCCTTCCCAGTGCTCTCAGTGAAGTCCTCATCCAGAAGAATGCTGCATCCAGGAAATAGGGCGAGATCAGAGTGGTACCAGTTAGAGAAATGAGGGACCAGGATGAGGATGGGAGAGAAAAGAGGAAAATGTGGAATAGATATTCAAACACAGGCAGAGAGTTTCCAAAATTCACTGGTGGAAACATGAAATGATTAATTAATTAATTTATTGATTGATTGATTGATATCCTGCCTTTTTCCTACAGAGGGCTCAAGGCAGCTTACATCATTCTCCTCCTTCATCTTATCCCCACAACAACAACCCTGTGAGGTAGGTTGGGCTGAGAGTCTGTGACTGGCCCAAAGTCACCCCGTGGGCTCCATGGCTGAGCGGGGACTAGAACCCAGATCGTCTGAGTCCCAGTCCCATGCTCTTAACCACTACTCCACACTGGCTCTAAATGATGCTGTTGTTTCTAAATCGGTGCAGGTTTCCCAGTTTGCTGGAGTCCCAACCCTTCCTATCTCTTGTTCTCATGCTCCCTACAGTCACAGTCCTCTGCTCAACCTAAAGCTGAAAGGGGGGAAAAGTTCTTAAAGAAGCCCAGCCAGCTCAGTGCAGCTGCCTGCACTAGGCCATGGTGCTCTTTACTTTAAAGCTCTTTACTTTAAAGCTCTAAGCTCTTTTAGAATGGAAGGAAAACATGCAAACTCCAGGAAGGCACCAAACATCTGATGATCGTGCAAATGGGGGTGGGTCAACGGGGGTGGCCATCTGGGAATCAAACTGGGCTGCATTTGATTCCTGGACCTGAAGTTCAACACCTCTGTTTCAAAGAGGCATTGCAATTCAGTGTTGCTGTGATCCTCTTCAGAAATTCTTTCTCCTGCTATTCAGTGCAGAGAGGAGTTTGAGAAGCTGCTGCACTCCCTGTCCAGGGCCTCCAATTTAGTGTCGCTGTATAACAACCATTCTCAGGCTTCCTGTGTCTCAGTATTGGAGACTGAGTGAAAAACAGACAATTTCCTTGTTGCAGCTTCTCAGAGCACCTCTCAGGACCAGGAAGAAAGGGAAATTCTAATTTACAAGGGCCCACTGACCGCAGGCAGCTGCACTGGGCTGAGTTGGCCCCTTTAGCACTGCTTTTATCTCAGTGCTGATGGAAGCACCAAATGGCTGCAAAGGTGCCCTCTGTTGAACGCTTTCGGTGTCTCCAGAGCAGCACTGCTCTCATTCGAAGCTGCGGTGGAGGCATCCGGAGGACTACTTGAAGACCCTGAAAGGTACAGAGCCCCATTTGACTCTGACTTCTGTGCAGTTTCTCTAGTCTCACAGTGGTGCGAAAGCAGAAACAGAAACTGGTGCTTCTAGGACTGCAGTCAGAACACAGCACTGAAAAAAACGAGCCATGCTCGCCTTCTGAAGGCCTCAGCTGATTGCAGTTCCTTGTGGGAGAGCTCTCCAGCTGGCACTGGGTCGGGCAAGGGCCTGATGTGACCCAGCACACAGGGTGCCCAGTTCTGCAGCCTGCTTCCCTGTGGGCTGCCTTGTGTATTTCCACCTGGGGCATTCGGGTCTTCTTTACTCCACCCAGACTGATAGCTTACGGTGCTGCAAGCATATTTGCATCCGCTGCCAGCGAAGAATAATTGGATTTTGTACAGATGAGCACAAGCAACAGCCTGTGAACCTTGTGTCTTTAGGGGCCTACATGCGATTGCAACAATAGCAGCTGTCAGATCTGACAGCCGCTGGAATCCACAGGGATTCCCATTTCAGTGCTCTGAGTGCAACAGTCACTCATTCATCCACTCTCTGCCAACATCTGGATCCTTCTTACAGTATTGCAAGTTGCAGCAGGGAGGACATGAATACTTCATTTGGGCCTCCCAGACCCTGCTGGATAAGTGTGCATGGCTAACAGCAGGAGGGTGCACTGAGGGGGCTGGAAGAAGCCTCTCCACAAGAACCTGTAGATTCTGTGTCAGTTCTGCTAGCTGCTGCTGATTTGCCCAGAGGTCTCCAAAGTCAGGACAGCTACTGGATCTGAGTCCATCCTTAATGGGAGATGGCAAGGTGGTTGTTAGCACTTCAGAACAAGTTCAAGGCTCTGTCTCAATAAGATGACGGCAGTAATTAGTTGCATTACTCATAAAATACCTGACTTCTTTGCTTTGATTGATTAAACAATTGATTTAAAATGCATATAAATTGTTTTTCTGTCCACTGAGACCTTGAAGGTGATATACTATTTAAAGTAACAATGTGATAAAGCAGACCACAAGCAAAGACTGAACTTTATTCTCAGCAAGCCAAAGAGCGACGCAAAAATCCATTAAAGCTGGGTGAAATAGTGCTGTTGCTCTTATCCATCTAAATCTTGATAAAGATAGGGCCAATCTGTCTTCCCTAGGCAGGGAGTCCAGACTATCCACTCCAAGTGTCCAGTGGTCCCCTGAAGAGGGATTGGTGCGGCTACAGAAAAGGCATTTTCTCAAACACTCATCAACCGTCACTGGTGAAATATGCAGTAGGACCCTGTTGAAGAGCACCAATAAAAGGATGAGGCAGGCTTTCTGGCTCCATTTAGGTACCTCCCTGGTTAAGGTACTCCTTCTAGCAGTCTATAAGACAGGAGAGTGAACATCTGGTGACAGGGCAGGGAGACAGGACTGGGATGCTTCTGGAGTACTGCTCTGCCTGCCACTTCTCTGTCGTCCTTTATTAGGAGCTGCTCAGGATTTCAGGGCTTCCAAAGCAGTCCTGAAGTCACACAACACTGTTCATATAATGCTAGTTTTGAACCAACTGTACTGGCATCCAGTTTGTTTCTGAGTCCAGTTCAAGGTATTGGATGTGACCTATAAAACCCCAAATGACTTGAGAACTTGTGAAGTAATTACCCTTTGCCCTCCTCATCCTGTCATTTCCTTGCCTCTCTGTAGAGATGTGAGCTCATAGAGACCCCTGATCAAGACCTAACAGACTTCACCAAGTGCCTTCAGATACTCCAGCAGAAGATAGAGAAGAATGGCTTGCAGGTAATGCTAGCAACTCACTCCATGAATTGATGATGGGTCTTTTTTCCAAGACTATCTGGGCCGCTGTTATAAGTTTCCCATGTCTGAACCTGCTTGTAGGGGTTTTGTATATCAACTAAAGAAGCTGTAGATTGTGTGATGCCATGGGGCTTGAGACCAGGGAGGCGGTGGTGGGGAGCATGTCAGCTGCCAAGAAGATGGGCTCTTACTATTTTGTACTAGTGAGCCTCCAAGGCTCCCAAAGAGTGATCACAGCTGAATGTTTACCTTCAGTTCAGATATTCCACTTGGGTATGTTCCCTTTCAACACTGTCACTGTGTTCCTCTCTTCAAAGGTATTGCAAAGTCAGAGGCCTCATGCATCTCCCAAATGATTGAATATTTGCCATATGTCACAAGTGGGGAGTCCTGCAGATGAATCACTCACTCCTTCCTTCCTTCCTTCCTTCCTTCCTTCCTTCCTTCCTTCCTTCCTTCGGGGTCCCTGACTGAATGGCAAGCATTGGTATACAAACAAGACAGGCCAGAGTGTTCCTGGGTCTAGTAATCAGGTGATCCTGGAGAGGCATCCTGCATTTCCAACATTTGCTTTACTCCTTCAGTCTTGGCAATTCATCGCTGAGGGACACTGCTAGGCAATTACTGTTTCCATGCCTGCTTGTCTGACTCACTTCTGCTCCCTGTAGTCCCATCCAGTCACGGCACATGCCTTTGCAGCTTCGAAACATTTCATTCTGACGCATTTGCTTTTTCATCCAAGCTCTGTCCTCACTATTGGGCTGTTTTCCACATGAAACCAATGGAGAGAGCTTCCTTAACAGACAGGAATGGCTGATTCTGCTCACTTCTGAGACCATTCAAGGACAGATTATGTTTTTTGGCCCACTCTGTCAATGCACATGCTTCAAGTCTGTTTTTATCCAAACGTCTACATCCATCTGCTAGTTCTGTTAAACTCCAAAGCTGTGTTATCTCCTCCATCACCTGTCCTGCCCTTTGTAACACCTTAGGCAGGTGGAACTGATGGAAGAATGATATCTCAATAACTTCCTTCCACTTGCAATATCACTAGCATGTGACTCTTTTGCCTCACTGAACTAATCATCTTTTTACAGGCATTTAGTTATTTAATTTAGATACTGCCCAACTGGTGGGTGCTCTTGAGGTAGCTTACAGTCATCAATAAAGCAACAACCTAAACAATAAATGCAACAGTGAAAACATACAAATATTAAAACATTAAAATGCTAAAGAGCTAGCAGCATTGGTAATAGCCATCAGAACAGATTAGACGCCTGCCAGAAAAGGAAGGCTTGACTTGACAGGCATCTAAATGTATGCAATGAAGACACTGAGTGGATTTCTCTGTAAAGGACATTTCACAGTTGCTGAGGGGACTACAGAGAAGTTTTTTACCTGATAGCCACTCATCCCACCATGGTAAGAAGGCCCTTCAGAGATTATCTTAATCAGGTAGGATGCTGCTTTGGATAGACTGGTTCTAACTTAATCCTCTCATAAGAACAGCACATCTGAACATCAGGTAGAGCAGGAGAAAAGGAATAGATTTGTCAAAGTCCTGCTGCCATGTGGATTACCTTTTCTGTGACTATATAGGTTGTTAGTTCATAAAGAGGTCCCCCCAAAGATTTATAAAAGCACAGTATTAAAATGAGAACAATGGAAATCACATAATCTGCTATGGTGTTTCAACAATGCACCTTTCAACATACTCCTTAAATCTTGGAATGCTTTGATCTGGCTGTCATTTAGGTAAGCATGCACTACATCGTTAGGCCCAGTGGAGGATATTGCACTCCACAAATATCTGAGCTTTGAAGCTTAACAAGGCTACCGCGAACAGCATATGGGAGAGGGGGAAGCATCTCTTTGGGGGAAAGTAATTGTGTTGAATGCATGCCGCAATACACAGGGTAACATTTCTGTTCAATTATATCCTCACACTGCTGCATGTAATGGCAGCAGTGGGTAGCAGCTTTGAACTCTGTTCAACCATGTGGCTTTTCCAGAGGTACAAACAATGGAAAGGGCAAGTTTGCTCTAAACAGAAGTGCTGCTTGTTTGTGCTTTAATGGTTGCCTCTCTCCTGTCAGATTGATTGCTCCAAAAGATTCTAGCAAATATCAAATCCTTTTTGACCTTTTTTATATTTGCCATATGGGGATTGACAGAGGTTTGTCACTGCTCTGGCGTATATAAAATAACACCACTCAGGTGTGAAGCTTGAGCTTAGCTCGTATATTCATTTGTGCTGCGCTCTTCTAGAAGCTAACATTTGGGATTGTTTTTGTATCAGAAACATGGCATAGTAAAACTCTCTTAAAGGCAAAACATCTGTACACACACCGCACACACAGTTCGCACATTAATTGTGGGCATGTGAAACATCTGCAATCCTCGAGAGCAGTGCTACAAACCTGGTTCTGCAACTTTCCCGGCAAACTCAGTGTTGCCAAGGTAGGAAAGCCTTGTGTGAAAGCGTGGCATCCCAGCACTTAGCATTAGGGAATAAGCACAGGCTAGGAACACTTCAGAAGATGTTCAAATGCACTTTATTTGTGTTTTTATATACAGTGTCAGAGGAAGCTTTCTAGCACTGCAACAACGAGCACCTCTTAAACTTTGGTGCATGACTAAGTAAAGGAGGGCATGAGATATAGGAGAGACCAAATGTTGCCTGCTGCAGAGGCAAAGTGAAAGAGGAAGGGGAGGAAGTAGGAAAAAGTAACCAATCAAGCTACAGGACAAAAAGGGAACAAATAAAGTGGCTGTGAATGCCACATGTTTTGTATCATCCCCTAGTGTCTGGAAGCATGCAGAGCTGTTCTTGCTATCCAGCAGCCAGGATATCAGTTTGGAAACTGTTTGCTATCTGCTTGGAATTCTTTTTCCATAGCTAATTACTTAGGCACAACAGTAGACTTAGAGAAGAAAAGGGCATGCTCCCTTTCCAGCCATCCATCCCCATCTCACTCTGGTGGGACACTGTCTTTCCCTGGCCCCCCAAAGTGCCCAAGCGGCACTTGGAGACACAATGAAAGGCTTTCCCCACTCTCTGCTGGCCGTGGGGGAGACCCTTCTCAACTTGCAGAGGACTTGTCCTTTTAATTGAAATCCTTGTGCCCCTCCAAGATGATACCTGCTCAGGGTAAATTGCAAACCAGAGGACAAGGCGTGGCTTCCAAGCACTCTCCCAAAAATCCTGGGGATCCTGCTTGGAAGGAGAAGTAGAGTTGAGGAATACACCCCTGAAAACTCTTTTTTAGAGGTTCTTGAGATTGGGGGGGGGGGGGGTCCTCCAGATTATCCACAGTTGGGAAAGTGAGGGTAGCCCAAAGCCACAAGCATACCTCCCCAAAACCATGACAATTCTTCTGCAAAAGGAGCTTTCCACAGCGCTTACCTTTAAATGAAGTTGAAAATGGTTAGCGGTGGGCTGCAAAGATTCAATTTGGCATCAGCGCTGTGTCCATGCAACTTTGTAGTCAACTGCTATTACTTTTTGAGGGTATGTTAGGGTGGGGCGGGGGGGGACTGCAAGAAACTGAGAAGAGCCTTTTTGAAAGGCTTGCATTTACTTCCAACAAAGGCAAGCCATTGCCATATCCATTTAGAAGTGGTACCTCTTCCTGGCCAGTTGAGAAACCCAAATCAAGGGAGTGTCCTCTTAGATGTGTTGGGTTGATGACATGCTGAGACAACCCCATGGCTGTCATGAGTCAGTCCTGGGCTGCCCCAGATTCAGACTTGAATCTGTTCCAGATCACCAGTCTTCAAGTTGATGTTGGTGCTGAGTACCCAGGAGGGCACAGCTGTGAAAGATGAACCCCTGTTCATTCTCCCATCCAGGTCTTAGTAATACACAGCAGGTCAGCCCACTCATCCACAATTAAACCATGGATGAGGGAGATCTTATTTTGGATTGGATTGGCGTTAAAGAGCAGCAGCACAAGATCTGAGGTTAAGCTGGGATATCTAGTTTCCCTTCTCTTCACCTGATTTATTAGTCCCCAGTGCCCTGCTTCCCCCTGTGCATAGCCATGTTATTCATGTTTCCCAGGCGCATGTAAAAAATATAAATTGCAGCAGATAACAGGGAATAGGTGAAATTCACAAGTACCCTTCTTTCCCCAAGCTGCTGCCCTTTAGTGCCGTTGTTTCCTGAGGGTCCCACCTTTGCTGGTATCTGGCCTCTGAAGTGCAGGCAGATGAAGTGCCAGGGGCAAACAAAATGAAAATCCTTTTGCTTGCCCAGCCTGCTGACCATAGTGACACCATAAGCTAAGAACCTTTGGCTCTCACCCTTTACACCTCTGTCCTGAACAGCCTGAAAGACCAGCAAGGGAAGGAGAGAATGAGGCAGACAGCATGAGCCAGGTGATGTAGCTGATAATGATCTCCCACCAGTAGATTCCACTACCTTAATGTCCATGAAGCAGGTAGATGATCTAAGAGGGTATGAACATGATAAGTAAATACTAGTGTTTCTATACAAGGTTTATGCATGCCATATCCTCCTCCCAGAAAGAGACAACTGTTTGGCTCTGCCAAAACATATGGTTAAAAGAAGCATTGACTGCATTATACCTCTAGCGATTAGCCAAATTCTTATGAAAGGGATCCACAGTATATGTGTAATCCTCCTTTCCATAGCAGCAACCCTTTGTTTTGGAGGCTTCTGTGGGCTCCTGATTCAAACAGTAATGGAATAGATAGGTAGTGGGGAAGAATGCCAGCCCCCCCCAAAGCAGTGTTTTCTGCCTCCATATTTTCCAAAAGGCGGTATGGAAATCTAGAGGGCAACTTAATAGAATTGGAACACAGGAATAAGGAATTATTAAAGAGGTAGGGTGGGAAAAGAAGCCGCTCAGGTGGATATACATTTTAAGGCATGTCTCTAAACCAAATCATATGAAAGTGTGGAATTCAGTGATTTGTGGGTGAGCAATTAAGAGTCCATCCAACCTGTCTTTAGGTAT